GTCACTCAGTTAAATTTGCTTCTATATGCAAAAATTTTTTTTACCACAGTACTTCATTCAGTCACTATACAATAGTTATGATATACTAGTACCAGTAATCACAAATTTAAATATTATGTTCACTTATAAACATTCTAATTTTCCCAGGAACATTTTTTATTGTCATATGTGCTCTCGTAGATATTTAATTTCACGGGTGTGCGCTGGAAATAATAACACGAAACGGTAAAATTAGCTTTTATACTGAAAAGTTAACACATCGACCATTTCCTAAAGTGAACATTTCCCTTTTCAGTAATTACACAGAAAATGAGTATATAACTGGTGTCTGTCCTCGAGGAAAAAAAAAAAAAAAAAAAAAAAACTATCAAGAAGCACCAAGTAAAAAAAAAGTGTTTTGTATGTTAAATGTAAGTAGAAATTTGTAAAATTTGCCCGCCATCTTACGTGCCACAAAACCAGAAGTCCTGCCAGAGAAAAAAATAATTACCTATTTCACATTCATATAGCAGGACAGTACTACCTCCTACACTGGTTACGGTCAACCAGTGAACTCTCTATATTATAATTAATTCTCAAATGAAGACAAGCCACAGACAGCACTGTGTCCTCCTTTGCTGACGATACCAGAATTTGCATGATAGTGTCATCCACTGAGGACACTGTAAATCCCCAAGCGGACATTAACCAAGTCTTTAAATGGAGCTCAGAAAACAATATGAAGTTCAATGAAGGCAAGTTTCAATTACTCTGCTATGAAAAACTTAAGGAATTAAAAACTAGATCGGAGTATAAAAAAAATCCAACCGCACAAAAGAAAGAAAAACTAATATGAAAGACCTGGGAGTGATAATATCAGAGAATCTCACTTTCAAAGATCACAACAATGTCTACCACATCTGCTAGGAAAATGGCAGGATGGGTAATGGGAACCTTCAAAACTAGGGATGCCAAGCCAATGATGATTCTCTTCAAATTACTTGTTCTTTCTAAGCTGGAATAATGCTGTACTCTAACGGCCCCTTTCAAGGCAGGCGAAATTGCAGACCTGGATAATATACAGAGAACTTTCACTGAACGTATAAGTACAATAAAACACCTAAATTACTGGGAATGATTGAGGTCCCTTGACAATATACACTGGAAAAATTGTAGAGGGAAAGTCCCAAATCTGAACACAGAAATCGCTCCCTACGAAAGCAAAAGAGACTCGGCAGGCGGTGTAACATTCCCTGATTGAAAAGCAGGGGCGCTATGAATACAGTAAGAGACAACACAATAAGTGTCAGGGGGCCCAAGATTGCTCAACTTCCTCCCAGCATACATAAGGGAGATTACCACTAGTCCCCTGGCTGTCTTCAACAGGGAGTTGGACAAGCACCTAAAGTCAGTATCTGACCAGCCGGGCTGTGGTTAGTACGTCGGTTTACGTGCGGCCAGCATTAACAGCCTATTGATCAAGCCCTGATCCACAGCGAGTCCTGGTCATGGACCGGGCCGCAGGGACGTTGACCTCCGAAGCACCCTCCAGGTATATGGAAGGGCTCTGCACGGATAACGATCCAGTCAGAATGGCTGCCTCAAACTGAACGTATTAAAGTTCCAAACTCGAGTACCTGTTCTGTTTGTGTCAATAGCCAACGCATTCATACTGTCCACAGAGAGTAGTGGAGGAAGGAGAGACAAAGGGAGGAAGGGAAGAGAGGAACAGGCAGGACAACAATAAAAGAGGCGAGACGGAAAAAAACAAGAGAGTAAAGATAGCTGAAAGAAGGGTGAGATGACGGAAAGAGAGCGATTGTTTATATTTATTACAAATATATATTGCGCAAATATAAAAACTGCCTTATTTCATCATTCACAGACAACATACTTAATATTACAAGTGAACAATTACATATAAAGAAAAAAATAACCCAAGAAAGTAGGTGCTCAATAACAAACATTATTTACGACAAATACTCCACATGTAGTGTATGGATTTTGAAAAGCATTAAAATTTGATGCATACAGTACATATATTATTATATTTAGGAGGAAACGCTAAATCCACAGGGGTCATACAGTCTGAGAAATGCAAGGCAATCAGATTCGATCCAAGGAAGTGGGAGCCAGGCCCACTTCACTGTATCAAGAGCCCTCACCAGCATCAATGATTTGTCGTTTACATTATTCTTATATATTCACTTCAAGCATTAAACTCGTAGGGGTCATACAGCGCCTGAAGAAAGAGATGGTATCAAGTTTGATCCAAGGAAAGTGACGGTAGCTCCAAATTCTTGGATGAACAGTTCTTCAGCAAAATCAAGGCACCTCCTAGATGGTAATAAGTATGTTGACTCCTAGTCTTGCTGCCTCTCGCAAGATGTGCTTTGCTTTCGACTTTCACAGTCATTTGGAAAGTGGTAGATTGTTAGCCTTACCTTGTTCAGATTATTACATCCGCCAGCACACCAAGCAGTAACTATCATAGAAGCCTAGAAAGACAGAAATCTCACGTGTTGTTCTTGCAGCATCACGTTCAATATGGTTGACAAGATAAGAGCGAATCATAACTCATGACTTCCTATGAAAAACAATATTATAGAAACATACTACCCTAGTTGTGTTTGCAGGAATCGATTCACAGCACCCAGTCCTGCCTCTTAAATCTTATCGACTGCCTTTACTGATTACTGACCTCCACGACCCGATCAAATATATTCTGTGTATGATTTTTCTGCACAACTTTTTAATCTAGTTTCCTATACTTGCTACATTGAGATTTAGAAGGTCTTCCTAACGTTCCTTTGTACCTTTAGTTGTCATCTCTTTTCCACAGCTTCATCTTAAATTTAAAAGTATCCCTGGCCTTTATATCTAACCCAATGAGTAATTATTGTCATGATAATGTCTCGACTAGTCTTCTTTTCTTCTAGTATTGTTAGGTGTGAGTGTGTGCGTACTCACCTAATTGTGGTTGCAGGGGTCGAGACTCAGCTCCTGGCACCGCCTCTTCACTGACCGCACCTAGGTCCTCTCTCCCTGCTCCATGAGCTTTATCATACCTCATCTTAAAACTATGTATAGTTCCTGCCTCCACTACATCGCTTGCCAGACCATTCCACTTCCTAACTACTCTATGACTGAAGAAATACTTCCTAACATCCCTTTGACTCATCTGAGTCTTCAGCTTCCAATTGTTTCTGTGTCCCATCTCTGGAACATCCTGTCTCTGTCCACCTTATCTATTCCACGCAGTATTTTGTATGTCGTTATCATATCTCCCCTGACCCTCCTGTCCTCCAGTGTTGTCATACCGATTTCCCCTAACCTGTCTTCATAGGACATTCCCCTTAGCTCTGGAACTAGCCTTGTTGCAAACCTTTGCACTTTCTCTAATTTCTTGAAGTGTTTGACCAGGTTTGGGTTCCAAACTGGTGCTGCATACTCCAGTATGGGCCTGACGTACACAGTGTATAAAGTCTTCAACGATTCATTACTGAGGTACCGGAACGCTATTCTCAGGTTTGCCAAGCGCCCATATGCCGCAGCAGTTATCTGGTTAATGTGTGCTTCTGGCGATGTACTCGGTATTATACTCACTCCTAGATCTTTCTCCTTGAGTGAGGTTTGCAGCCTTTGGCCTCCTAGCCTATACTCTGTCTGCGGTCTTCTTTGCCCTCCTCCGATCTTCATGACTTTGCATTTGGCGGGGTTAAATTCTAGGAGCCAGTTTCTGGACCACGCATCCAGCTTGTCCAGGTCTCTTTGTATACCTGTCTGGTCCGCGTCTGATTTAATTCTCCTCCTTAACTTCACGTCATCTGCAAACAGGGACACTTCTGTCATGTCATTCACATACCAAGAATAGCACTGGTCCCAGGACTGACCCCTGTGGGACGCCGCTCGTCACCGGCGCCCACTGTGATACCTCATCACGGACCATGACTCGCTGTTGCCTCCCTGTTAGGTATTCTTTGATCCATTGCAGTGCCCTTCCTGTTATACGTGCCTCTTCCTCTAGCTTCTGTACTAATCTCTTGTGAGGAACTGGGTCGAAGGCCTTCTTCCAGTCAAAAAAGCAACCCACCCCTCCCTCTCATTTCTTACTTCAGTTACCTTGTCATAAAACTCTAGTAGGTTTGTGACACAGGATTTGCCTTTGTTGTGTTCGTCGGGGTGTGGTGTGCACCTATTGTACGTTGTGGTGGTTGCAGGGGTCGAGACTCACCGTTGCCCCGCTATTACTGATCGCTACTGGATCCTTCTCTCTCTTTCACTGAACTTTGTCATACACCATCTTCTTAAATGTATGATTCCTGCAATACAACTACTTCATTGCTAGTGTATTCCACTGAAACAACGAATGACTAAGAAATATCCTAACTGGGTTTTCTCTGGTACCATTTTCTTCAGTTTTAAGTTGACTTCTTTTCCCTTGTCCCCTCTCTGTACATCTATCTCTTTTCAATGTCTATCCCGTCCATTTGAGTCGTTATCATGTCTTCCCTGACCCTCGTCCTCCAGTTTGTCTCATCCATTCAACTTAACCTTTCCTCGTAGACATCCTTAGCTAAGGGGACTGCACGTTTGCAAACCTTGTAATTTCTTAATTTTAACCAGTTTGACCAGGTTGGTTCCAGACGGTCTGCATACTCCAGTATGGGTAATCAACACAGTGTAACATGATCTTGAACGATTCCTTATTCAAACGGAACGCTATCCGGTTGCAGGGACCGTATCCTTGCAGGATTATGGATTGGTGGTGCCTCAGTATGTTATGCACTTCATTATGTAACATCAAGTTTTTTCCTGATGAGGTCTGTATCCTTTGTACCTGTGTGTGTGTGTGAAGTTGGTAGCGTGTGTGTGTGTGTGTGTGTGATGTGTGTTGTGTGTGTGTGTGTGTGTGTGGAGGGTTGTTCAAAGTTGCTGAATCGCAGTTTCCCAGTAAATATACACACATAAGGAAAGGTATACATCAATTTCATTTACATAAAAGCTGTACACCAGTCAGATTCCTCAAAGTTATTAACTTCTAATGACAATAACAATAATATTTATTAGTAGTATTCAGAAACAACGAAGAATTATAAGCAACATACCTTGAGATGGAGGTTTTTCTTGGTACCATTTTTCTGAGAGTGTTTTATTAAGTTGATTAGCTTTTTCATGCTTTTCAGGTCTTTCATTTGCCCATTTTTCAATTTCTTCGCCTGTTCTACATTTCGTATAACTTGCATCTTTTCCTGCTCCTTCACTCTTATTTTCCTCTACCCATGCAACTATCACATCGGCTTCTTGGTAAGAATCAGTTGCTAAAGGAGTCTGGACTCGACACAGGTTTGGCACTCTAAATATATCTGTTGTAACACCAGAAGCACTCCCACAGCCATCTGGCATATCCTTGAGAAGATCAACAACAGACGAAGCACTTGATTCACATTCTGATTCTTCCATCAAAGACTCACACGAATCCTGCAGAGAGTTCGAGTAATTTTCATCCTTTGGCAAGATACTGGCAAATGGTGGTAAGCCTGCAATGTTAATAGCACTCTCATTTACATTGTAATCATCAGTAGCTATATTTGTATTCAACTCACTTTGATATCCAGGTACATATGTTGAATTGTTTGTTTGAGAATTCGGAAGCAAAACACTGCTCCTGCTCTGTTTTATTATATTGTTCTTTGGCATTACACGCTGTAGTGAAATACTGGCACTCTTCCTTAGCATCACCGCATGATTCATGGTCATCTCCATACTGAGCTACAGTCTCATTTGTTTCAATATCAGTAGGCAAAGTTTCACCACAGATGTTTTGAAAAACAGAATCGTCAACACAAATGGCTTTAACAAGCTGGTTTTCGCTGCCCTCACACTGATCATTTTGTGGGACTTTTGTTTGCCTTTTGGATGTACGAGTGTGTCCTAGCAAGAAGTGAACGATGACCTCTACCATGGAGTCCAGTGGAGACTCCAGTTCCTTGTTGCGCTTCATAAGTCGACCAATGTGTAATGCCTTCATGAGCTTTAATCGGTTGCGGACACACGTAGACTGCTCACTTTGTTCTTCATCTAACTGCTGTAATGTCCTCACCAGTCTCTGATAGATAAATTAATGTGACACGTAAGCATTTTAGTGATTATAGTGAAAAAAATAATTATAGTAAATGTAGACATGAAGTCATATTTTTATGCGTCTCCTACCCTTACCCGCATTTTTTGTCACTGCATTTTTGACATATCTAGGTAGGGTAAAAAAGTTCACAATGCGTTATTTGAGATATACGAAATGACTTGTTTAACCCTAGAAAGCCACTGCCATGGAAACTAATCTCCATCACTGCTTCTCAAGTTTACAACTTACAATACTAATTAAAAGCATAGTTTTTTTTTATTCACTTATATAACAGACCTTTCTAAAATTAAACTCGTATCATCAATTACTATAAAACATAAACTATAACAATATACAGTAGAGGAAGGCAAGGTAATTAGTTATGATAAGTAATATTTCATACAGCAATATTTTTGAACAAGACTGTCGATACTCTGCTAAATACGTTTCGTCCAAAATTTGACAAAACCACCAAGAAAAATAATTTATGAGCACAAAGTATGAGGAACCTGTTATTGCTCGCGTATGTACTGTACATCGTTCCTTATTGTTAAGCAGTAGATTTTGATGTAGCTCTCCATTTTTTAACACACCCCATCAACCATAAATTGGTGAGTACACACACACACATTAATATATATATATATATATATATATATAATATATATATATATATATATATATATATATATATATATATATATATATATATACTATATATTTCAACACGTCGGCCGTCTCCCACCGAGGCAGGGTGACCCAAAAAGAAAGAAAATCCCCAAAAAGAAAATACTTTCAACATCATTCAACACTTTCACCTCACTCACACATAATCACTGTTTTTGCAGAGGTGCCCAGAATACAACAGTTTATAAGTATATACGTATAAAATATACACAATATATCCCTCCAAACTGCCAATATCCCAAACCCCTCCTTCAGAGTGCAGGCATTGTACTTCCCATTTCCAGGACTCAAGTCCGGTTATATAAAATAACCGGTTTCCCTGAATCCCTTAACTAAATATTACCCTGCTCACACTCCAACAGCTCGTCAGGTCCCAAATACCATTTGTCTCCATTCACTTCCTATCTAACACGCTCATGCACGCTTGCTGGAAGTCCCAACCCTCGCCCACAACACCTTTACCCCCTCCCTCCAGCCTTTTCGAGGACGACCCCTACCCTGCCTTCCTTCCCCTACAGATTTATACGTTCTCCATGTCATTCTACTTTGATCCATTCTCTCTAAATGACCAAACCACCTCAACAAACCCTCTTCAGCCATCTGACTAATACTTTTATTAACTCCACACCTAATTTCCACACTCCGAATTTTCTGCATATTTACACCACACATTGCCCTCAGACAGGACATCTCCACTGCCTCCAACCGCCTCCTCGTTTCTGCATTCACAACCCAAGCTTCACACCCATATAAGAGTGTTGGTACTACTATACTTTCATACATTTCCTTCTTTGCCTCCATAGATAACATTTTTTGCCTCCACATATACCTCAATGCACCACTGGAGTTTACCTGGAGTTCACCTTTTTTCCTTCATCAATTCTATGATTAACCTCATCCTTCATAAATCCATCCGCCAACACGTCAACTCCCAAGTATGAAAACATTCACTTCCATACTCCTCCCCAATTTGATATCCAATTTTTCTTTATCTAAATCATTTGATACGCTCATCACCTTTACTCTTTTCTATGTTCACTTTCAACTTTCTACCTTTACACACACTCCCAAACTCATCCACTAACCTTTGCAATTTTTCTTTAGAATCTCCCATGAGCACAGTATCATCAGTTAAAAGCAACTGTGTCAATTCCCATTTTGTATTTGATTCCCCATAATTTAATCCCACCCCTCTCCCGAAACCCTAGCATTTACTTCTTTACAACCCCATCTATAAAAAACATAACACAACCCAATGGTGACATTACACATCCCTTCTAAGACCTAACTTTTACCTGAAAAGTAGTCTCCCTTTTCTTCTACACACCCTAACCTGAGCCTCACTATCCTCATAAAAAACTCTTTACAGCATATTATAATATATATATATATATATTAAATATATAATACATATATTATAATATATATATATATTTTTTAATTATATATATATAATATAATATATATATAATATATATTATAAAACCCTTTAACAGCTGCCTCTAGTCAAGAGATGGTGACCCAAATAAAGAAGCACGTTCACCATCATTTATTCAATCAATGTCTTGTCAAAAGTGTGCTCGCATCACAATTTAGATTCCCCTCTGACTGCAACACCCACATACCTTCTTCCGAGTGCAATCACTGCCTAACCGATTTTCCTAGAATCCCTTCATAAATATTACCATGTTCACATTACAACAGAACGTCCAATAGAAACTGCTTGTCTATTCACTCCTGTCTAACATGTTCACACAAGTCTACTGGAACTTATAATAATAATAATAATAATAATAATAATAATAATAATAATAATAATAATAATAATAATAATAATAATATTATTATTATTATTACAATCAAGGGGGAAGCGCTAAACCCGGAGGATTATACAGCGCCTGGGGGGGATGTGGAAGGCATTCAGGCTTAATTTGGGGAACTCCTGGAGCACAGATCCAATTCCCTAAATCAAGAGCCCCTCACCAACATCAAGGAACCTTCCTTGAGGGGATAATAATAATAATAATAATACTCTTTATTTCTGTAAGTACACGTACAAAGTATACAGGCCTAGCTGACATCAACAACATACTATTATATAGAAAACCCCTTGTTATGCAGAGCATTTTGGGCAAATTTGATCAATTTTGTCCCAGGATGCGACCCACACCAGTCGACTAACACCCAGGCACCTATTTTACTGTTAGGTGAAAAGAGAAAGCAGGTGTCTTAAGGAAACACCACGTCCTAATATTTCCGCCCATACCGGGGAACTTTCATTTTCCTAAAACTCGAAGTGTCCTTTATAACCTCCAGCTGAGATTACCCCTTCCTTTCCTATCCTCTACCCCAGATTTATACTCTTTGTTATCCTATCCCTCTCTATCTTCTTGACATACCCAAACCACCTCAACAGCCTTCTGAATTATACCCTTGGTGCGCCCACATCGTCTTTTAGTTTCTATGCCCTGATTTCTCGTATGTGTATATATATATATATATATATATATATATATATATATATATATATATATATATATATATATATATATATATATATATATATATATATATATATATATGAGAGGAACATCTCTCGAAGGAAATTTAAAGTCTTCTTGAGATATAGGATATCCTAGGTTAAGTCATCATATAATTTCGTTTTCATATACAGTTGCATTTACAGTGACTATATTGAATTAGTAATAATTTAAGATGAAATAAGCCAGTGAAGAGCTCTTGGCTCAAGTAAATGGAGCTAACCTCTCATTCCTTGGATCAGACTTTATTGTCTCCCATTCCCCATGGTTTGACCCGTACGAGTTTAGTCCTTCCCCATGTTCTAATAATAATAATAATAATAATAATAATAATAATAATAATAATAATAATAATAATAATAATAATAATAATAACAGAGTTGAACTATAAATGTTTTATGTGCACAATAATTGTTTCTGCATAATGTAAGACTTTCTTAAAAAGGAAATGAGGCAAACTAGAAGGATGGAAATAAATGGTAGTGTAGCAGGGTACAAGGTAGCAAGCACCCGGCAAGACAAGGATGCATGCAAACTCATTGTATAATGTGAGAAGTAAACTGTAATAGGTCACAATTAATATATTAAATATGACACTAAATAATGAAGATGCGATAGCATTTCAGTGAAAAAAACAGAAGCTCGTAGGAGGACAGAATATTGTTAATACCTTAAAGTTAATCCATACGATACAATGTTTGCTTACCTTTTTTGCAAGGTATTCTCGAATCAGGGAGGCACTCAACATTTCAATGGCATTTCGATCCATGGTATAATAAGATAAGACTCTCGGTGTATTACACGTTTCTACATTGTGTTGCAACGATCTGCACTCGTCTTTGCTTTGTTTCTTCACAATCACAAAATGTTAGTGTTCCATTTATGCTTCACTTTGTTTCCTAGGACCTAGCCTAGATATATCACAATCCACCACCAGTCTATGACTGAACAATTGTATGTTCAGTATGTGTAGTACTTTTTGTAAAACCACATACAATTAACCATGATAAAGTTTACTATATTCATTAATGAGGATGTGCCAGTGGTTTGACCAGGAAAGTCACTACAGTTTTATTTCCAATAAAGTTCATGTAAATTATTTGACATTTTCTCTCTTCTTAGTTTAAGTCCTCAGATAATTTTTTTTTTAATCTAGTCACACTTCTACTCTCATTTTGACAGGATGTTATCTATGACTGGGGCCTGAGGTCAAGGATAGGGGGTCAAGTTGGCACTGTCACCTGGCTAATCTGCTCAAAATAACCTCTTTATTTAACCCCACTTCATGTAACACTTCTTCTATGAGTGGTGAGGGCTGAGGTGAGGGGAAATGAAGTGAGGGCTAAGGTGAGGGGAAATGAAAGTGAGGGCTAAGGTGAGGGGAAGTGAAGTGAGGGCTAAAGTGAGGTGAAGTGTTGTAAGATCTGAGTTGAATGGGAAGTGTAGTGAAGGCTGGAGGGGAAGGGTGGTGAAGGGAAGTGTGATGAGGGCTGAGGTGAGGGGAAGTGTGGTGAGGGCTGAGGTGAGGGGAAGTGTGGTGAGGGCTGAGGTGAGGGGAAGTGTGGTGACGGCTGGGTGGGGAAGTGTGTGAGGCTAGTGAGGGAAGTTGGTAAGGGCTGAGGTAAGAGGGAAGTCTGGTGAGGGGAAGTGTTATGAGAGCTGAGGTGGAGCAGTGAGGTGAAAGGGGGAAGTGAGGTGAGGGGGAAATTGAGGTGAGGTGAGGGGAGACTAACACCTGTGTTTGTAAACACTTCGCTTGTCGTGGTTCTGGTGTCGTGGCCGCCGCCGCCGCCGCCGCCCACCGCCATCTGTCGGAGATCACACACCTTAATCCTGCATCTTTAATGTTTTACGCTTTATCTCTCGCCGTTGTGTGTGGCCCGTGGGCGCCGCAGTGCCCAGACGGTGGGTGTGTGTGCGGCGTGGGCGTGGTGGGAGTGTGTTGGTGGGCGGTGAGGGCGTGTGAGGGCGGGCGTGACGCAGCCTCACCCACACCGTCTGCTGTCAATGGTCACAGCAAACATGGCTTCCTCCAGCAGAGGAATACAAATCGGGTCTGCGTGGTTTCAAAGAAAAATCAAGCTCCGGCCGCAGCACAGAGGGATCCATCTAGTAACTGACGAAGTGCTGAAGGAGATCCCCGAGCTCAGGCAATTTTCCGTAGGCTTACTACACGTACAGAGTGAGTAGAGCAGAGGGGCAGAGCAGAGTGAGTAGAGCAGGGGGCAGGTGTGCACATGCCCGCCTCCCTCACACATGACAGGCCAGGCTGTATTATGGGTCACAAACTTGCTTTCTGACTGTGCATGAGGCTATACCTCGCTAAGATTAACTACTGTGCCTCTGTGGCACCATTTGACACAATGATTGGTCTTTCTTAACCTGGTAAACATGATATTTTTCACACATGATGTGTTAGCAAGAAGTCTAGCAACTATTAAAATCATTATCAGTTTAAGTAATACTCGTACCTACCATATGGGTATATTTAATTGTTCCAAGCACATTTTTTAAATTACTCGAGTGAAAATTAGATTTACACTTGCTTGATACATTACATTTGTAGAAAATCTTGTTAAATTGTTTTACGAGTGTCTCAAGTGAAGAATTAATGTTTTATTTGTACTTTTAGAAGAATTTTGCAGTTAACTTGAAAATTTAAATTGGTAAATGGCAATATATTAATTAAGTAACTAATTAATAGCTCGCCCTTCATAGGATGCTTGTGTTCACTCAATGCTTTGTATGCTAAATTGCATGTTTTTTACTTATCCCTTCATAATTTTGCATTAAAGATTCTTATCTACATGTTAAATATCATAAACTATCTTCTGTATTAAGTCTGAGTCCTTGCCAGTAGAATGTGTGATTGCTAATTACTTTTACAAGTTTGGAGTTAACTCTTGTCTGACTTTTTTAGGTTATCCTAGGTAATGTACACTATGTATGATCATTGCACCTAAATAAACTTATTCCTTCTAGATGCTGATTATTTTATGCACAAACCATGTCATTTGCTGGTTAATTTACGAGGACCTTTCCACATACACAATGATAAAGTAAAACCAAAATAGGTGCCTACAAAACTCAGCACCCAAGAACCCATTGGAAATAAGTCACTTTATCTGACTTTGGGTTATCCTAGGTAATCTACACATATGCTGCTATGAATAATAATCCAAGTAACTGTATTTATGTGTACCTGTACCAAAATAACCTTACTTATGTTAAATATACTAACCTCAGATTTTGAAAAGGGTTAATAAGATAAGCCACTGTTATTTTAAACATAGGTGGCTTTACAAACTTCTGTTTTAAATTACTGTAATATCTCATTACTCCAAAATATTATGCATAACTGAGGTTTCCACATAAGAAATATTCACTGTTATCCTACTACCAGTGTTGTTACTACAATACAGTGGTGATAAATTATGAAGGCTTAGTTAAGGATACACTAACAAAGCCAAATAATGATTTATTTCTGGGGTCTTTTTTTTTTTATAAATTTCACTGAGGCACACACCCAATACTTGCTGTATGCTACCTTGATGTGGAACAGTCGATGAGTTGAAAAAGAAAATTGCTGATGCTAATGGAAGTTAACATATCTTTGCAATACTCTCGTGTGTAGCCAGGCATTGAAAACTTATATGCACTTAAAACACTAGAATAAATTTACTAACATTTGCTGTAGAGGTAAATAGTGGCATTTATCAGTTCAAGGCTAAAGTTAGGAACAAATTGCAAATAAAATAAACTGTGTGAAGGGAAGATAGTGACTGTTTAGCTGTTTAGTAGGGTGCTGCATGGTGAGTATTGCAGTGTGCAGTGGTAAACTTAAATGTGAGACTTGTGTCTCAGATTTCATTTGTAATACTGTACAATAGTCGAAACCATAATATAGAAGATTTTTGTAACCCAGGTTAAGTTGATAAAGACTGTGCATCACTGGGGACTCTTGGTCTTGTTTCCATTGGGGTACTTTAATCCTCTCCCCCAAACTGTAACCCACAACAGTTGACTAACACCCAGGTATCTACTTAATGATAGGTGAACAAGAGCAGCAGGTGTAAAGAAACATGCCTAACAGTTCACCTTGGCCAGAGAGCAATCCCCCAGACAGACAGAGGAAACAATAAAAAGAGAGGGAAAGAGAAAGAGAGAGGGGGGATTATATATATATAATATATATATATATATATATAATATATATATATATATATATATATATATAAAATATATATGAGAATATGAATGTGTAAATTCAAGAATTATGTGGATTAAAGTAAAGGTTGGATACGAAAAGTGGGTCATAATAAGCGTGTATGCACCTGGAGAAGAGAGGAATGTAGAGGAGAGAGAGAGAGATTTTGGGAGATGTTAAGCCTTTGAACCAAGTGAGAGAGTAATTGTGGTAGGGGATCTGAATGCTAAAGTAGGAAAAATTTTAGAGAGGGTGTGGTAGGTAAGTTTGGGGTGCCAGGTGTAAATGATAATGGGAGCCCTTAGATTGAACTTTGTATAGAAAGGGGTTTAGTTATAGGTAATACATATTTTAAGAAAAAGAGGATAAATAAGTATTCAAGATATGATGTCGGGCGAAATGACAGTAGTTTGTTGGATTATGTATTGGTAGATAAAAGGGCTGTTGAGTAGACTTCAGGATGTACATGTTTATAGAGGGGCCACAGATATATCAGATCACTTTTCTAGTTGTAGCTACACTGAGAGTAAAAGGTAGATGGGATACAAGGAGAAAGAAAACATCAGGGAAGAGAGAGGTGAAGGTTTATAAACTAAAAGAGGAGGCAGTTAGGGTAAGATATAAACAGCTATTGGAGGATAGATGGGCTAATGAGAGCATAGGCAATGGGGTTTGAAAGGCATGGGTAGGTTTAAAAATGTAGTGTTAGAGTGTTCAGCAGAAGTTTGTGGTTACAGGAAAGTGGGTGTGGGAGGGAAGAGGAGCGATTGGTGGAATGATGATGTAAAGAGAGTAGTAAGGGAGAAAAAGTTAGCATATGAGAAGTTTTTACAAAGTAGAAGTGATGCAAGGAGGGAAGAGTATATGGAGAAAAAGAGAGAGGTTAAGAGAGTGGTGAAGCAATGTAAAAAGAGAGCAAATGAGAGAGTGGGTGAGATGTTATCAACAAATTTGTTGAAAATAAGAAAAAGTTTTGGAGTGAGATTAACAAGTTAAGGAAGCCTAGAAAACAAATGGATTTGTCAGTTAAAAATAGGAGAGGAGAGTTATTAAATGGAGAGTTAGAAGTATTGGGAAGATGGAGGGAATATTTGAGGAATTGTTAAATGTTGATGAAGATAGGGAAGCTGTGATTTCGTGTATAGGGAAAGGAGGAATAACATCTTGTAGGAGTGAGGAAGAGCCAGTTGTGAGTGTGGGGGAAGTTCGTGAGGCAGTAGGTAAAATGAAAGGGGGTAAGGCAGCTGGATTGATGGGATGAAGATAGAAATGTTAAAAGCAGGTGGGGATATAGTTTTGGAGGGGTTGGTGCAATTATTTAATAAATGTATGGAAGAGGGTAAGTACCTAGGGATTGGCAGAGAGCATGCATAGTTCCTTTGTATAAAGGCAAAGGGGAAAAAAGAGAGTGCAAAAATTATAGGGGGATAAGTCTGTTGAGTATATCTGGTAAAGTGTATGGTAGAGTTATTATTGAAAGAATTAAGAGTAAGACGGAGAATAGGATAGCAGATGAACAAGGAGGCTTTAGGAAAGGTGGGGGGTGTGTGGACCAGGTGTTTACAGTGAAACATATAAGTGAACAGTATTTAGATATGACTAAAGAGGTCTTTGTGGCATTTATGATTTGGAAAAGGCGTATGACAGGGTGGATAGGGAGGCAATGTGGCAGATGTTGCAGGTGTATGGTGTAGGAGGTAGGTTATTGAAAGCAGTGAAGAGTTTTTACGAGGATAGTGAGGCTCAAGTTAGAGTATGTAGGAAAGAGGGAAATTATTTCCCAGTAAAAGTAGGCCTTAGACAAGGATGTGTGATGTCACCGTGGTTGTTTAATATATTTATAGATGGGGTTGTAAGAGAAGTAAATGCGAGAGTCTTGGCAAGAGGCGTGGAGTTAAAAGATAAAGAATCACGCATAAAGTGGGAGTTGTCATAGTTGCTCTTTGCTGATGACACTGTGCTCTTGGGAGATTCTGAAGAGAAGTTGCAGAGATTGGTGGCTGAATTTGGTAGGGTATACAAAAGAAGATAATTAAAAGTGAATACAGGAAAGAGTAAGGTTATGAGGATAACAAAAAGATTAGGTGATGAAAGTTTGGATATCAGATTGGAGGGAGAGAGTATGGAGGAGGTGAATGTATTCAGATATTTGGGAGTGGAACGTGTCAGCGGAGGGGTCTATGAAAGATGAGGTGAATCATAGAATTGATGAGGGGAAAAGGGTGAGTGGTGCACTTAGGAGTCTGTGGAGACAAAGAACTTTGTCCTTGGAGGCAAAGAGGGGAATGTATGAGAGTATAGTTTTACCAACGCTCTTATATGGGTGTGAAGCATGGGTGATGAAAGTTGCAGCGAGGAGAAAGCTGGAGGCAGCGGAGATGTCATGTCTGAGGGCAATGTGTGGTGTGAATATAATGCAGAGAATTCGTAGTTTGGAAGTTAGGAGGAGGTGCGGGATTACCAAAACTGTTGTCCAGAGGGCTGAGGAAGGGTTGTTGAGGTGGTTCGGACATGTAGAGAGAATGGAGCGAAACAGAATGACTTCAAGAGTGTATGAGTCTGTAGTGGAAGGAAGGCGGGGTAGGGGTCAGCCTAGGAAAGGTTGGAGGGAGGGGGTAAAGGAGGTTTTGTGTGCGAGGGGCTTGGACTTCCAGCAGGCATGCGTGAGCGTATTTGATAGGAGTGAATGGAGACAAATGGTTTTTTAATACTTGACGTGCTGTTGGAGTGTGAGCAAAGTAACATATATGAAGGGGTTCAGGGAAACCGGCAGGCCGGACTTGAGTCCTGGAGATGGGAAGTACAGTGCCTGCACTCTGAAGGAGGGGTGTTAATGTTGCAGTTTAAAAACTGTAGTGTAAAGCACCCTTCTGGCAAGACAGTGATGGAGTGAATGATGGTGAAAGTTTTTCTTTTTCGGGCCACCCTGCCTTGGTGGGAATCGGCCAGTGTGATAATAAAAAAAAAAAAAAAAA